GCACCAATCTACATGCAAAATGAAACTTTTACACTCAAATCCTAAGGCTGTGGGAAAAAGCAGAGAACGCCTGGGAAGATCTGATGATGGAGACTAAAGAAAGTTTGCCCACTGCCATAAATCAATTCTAACTCATAGCAAGCCCACAGGGCAGAGAAGACTATAAAGTCATAAATATAAAATTATTTATTTTTAAGCATTTTATTGGGGGCTCGTACAACTCTTATCACAATCCAAACATTCATACATTGTGTCAAGCACATTTGTACATTTGTTGCCATCATTTAAAAGACGTTTTCTTTCTACTTGAGCCCTTGGTTTCATGTCATTTCCACCCCCTCCCTCCCCCACCCTCTCTCTCTCTCATGGAATACTATAATTTTTATAGAAGAAAAGGGACACATTTTCTCCTGCAGAGCAACTGGTGGGGTCAAACGTTCTGTTAGAAGCCAAGCCCTTTAAGGCTCCTCAGAAGGATTAAGAGTAACTACGAAAATAGGAGGAGTGCAAGTGAATGCTGATGTAAAGGCCTACAGTTGTAATCTACGTGGCAGTCACAGAAGGCAAGGCCTGGCAATCTGTTCCCCAAAAATCGATTACAGCCTAGGAACCCAGACGGAGCAGTTCTACTCTGTCCCATAGGGTTACAGAGTCAAAATTCACTCGTCTGCAAATAAGTAATAGGATTCTTAAAAATGCCTAATTCAGAACCATGGTCTTCAAATTATACATTATTTACCCTTATCGTTTTTTCTAAACCAGAATGTTCCTTTTCAGTATTAAATTGTGACAAATCTTAGTCGTTTGAAGAGAGATCTAATTTTGGCCCAACGGTCTGAAGTCACCTGGCACCAAAAAAAAAAAAGTCCAGATAAAGAGTTCTGGGTGAGGGAAAAGAGAAAGAGAGACAGACAGACATGGGGCTATTAAGTAATGAACTTGCTGAGCATTGGCTTCGAAGCCAGCAGCATTCCTGAGGCAAGAAACCAGCTTTTTGTGACTTTCTGCCAACAGCCACTACAGTGCATGGGAGGCCCTGCCACAGCACTACTCCCTGGGGCCCGTTAGCCACGGGTGGCCCCCACCACACCCAAGGAACTGCTCAAGTCCCAGGTGGATGCCCTCCTTTTCCTGTCTTTTTAAAACAAACACTGAACATGCAATTCTTAGAATTTGAATGGCTCTTAAGGGTTATTTTTTATGGCTCCTAAGGATTTTGTTAATTTCTGAAATGTACACTGGATTAATTCCTAAAACTAACTTTTTATACAACTACTCAAGCAAGCAGTATTTTCTTAATAACCTGTAGTAACCTTCCACATACTACGGAACTAAGCAATAAGTCCTCCTAGGTTATCTCAAATTCTCAATTTATTCTCTCATTAAGTTTATCCTTGGCATGCAGAAATCTCAAAGAACAACTGTGGGGACAAGATGCACATGGTTTATGTCCTGTCAGTAGACATCCCGAGTAGGATCAAGGTGATGATGACTGCATATGGATCAACCAAACAGAGGAGCAAGTGTGGTCTGCCAGGTAGTCAACACTAACAGAGGCATGCTTTACTCTGGGACCAACTCCAAGCCTGGCAGATTTTTTTTTGTGGACCCAATGAGGAACTTAAGATATGCCAGATGCCATCACAATTGCATAAGAAAAATAAAATTGAGACTCATAAAAGAATGCAACAAATTATACACATAAATTAAGATTTCAGACAATTAGAAGTGGTGGTTCTATGCCCAAATTCAACACTTGACAACAAAATTATAAGCACTTAGCTACTCAGTTCTACTTTACTGAGCAGCAGGGAGGAAAGGCAAGAACATTTTCTAGGGCTTAGAAGAGACCCGACATTACTCTTCTGTAAAAGCCTGTTGCAAAACATATGACTTGAGTTTACATGCAGCGGACTCAACAAATTTGTTTAGCACTAAGCCTGTTCAATTTCCTGATACACTAACATAGTTTCTCTTCCTTAAGAACGTAACCCACATTTTTCTCTCTCCAAAGCAACCTGAGTGGCTACACCACCAACTACAATGTATCAAACAGTACATTAAAGTACTAAAATAAAAAGAAAAAGAGAGAAAACTCCAGGTGTTCAGCAGGAAGCTTTTGAACGGATGCAAGGCTTAAGAACAAAGTTAATTTAAATACGCGCCCTGTTTAATTTCTTTTCCCGCCCAAGAGGGCCGTGGACTTGTAGCTTTCCTAACAGAGCTAAACTCAAAGAAACCACGAAGACACTATGTATCTAAGTGTTGACTTAATGTCCAACTCAGAGCTACAGGAAGTCAACTGCTAGGGTAGTTACGTTAGGCGTAGATATTTATAAACCACCTGCAGCCAATGACCCAGGGCTCAATTTCAACACCAACCCTCATATTTCAGCATATGAGCAAACTACCAGTCGAGTCAAAAATTAAGTTCATTCTGCCCCAGTGGCGCTTTAGATCGGGTTTTGCACAATCGCGGGGCACAACTGCTTTCGCCTAGCCCTATAGGCAGCAGGTATTAATAGTGGGGAAGTTAGCATCAGGTCAACTCCGGAATTGCTTGGACCGACTTAGCCCATACTGGTGAATGCAGGAATGTATCACGTCACTGGAGATCAGAGTGAAATTAAGTTTCGATCCCTTGGAGATCTCTGGGCGCACTAAGTCAGGCGGCGATTTCCTTCCAGGGGCTCTCGGGTGCCACTCGCGCGTCTTTTTGCCAGCGCCACGGGGGCCGCGCCGGTCGGGTCGCGCGAGGC